AACTCCAAGGACCATGCAAGTGGCAGTGGGACTGCTGCACTGGCTCTGATCAAATTCCCAGACTCCAGTGAACAGACCTGAAAACTCTTTCCTGTGCATAAAGCCCATGTGCTTTCTTCCTTGCTCTGTCAATCTGCTGCCAATCCAAACTCCGGGTACCGCACAGTCGCGTGGCAGTCCTGGCCCTCGAGTCCAGCGCTTGGTCTGTGACTGCAGAGCAATCTTTGGGAAAGCAAAGATCAGAAAATGAAAGCAATTGGCAAGCAGAAACAGAATGCAAACCAAGCGAAGCTGAAAGGCTCGGGCCCATCGCAGCCCTTCGAAGTAAATTTTGTGGGGAGGTCAACCGGTTATCTCAAGACGGCAGAGATTTGGCATTACTGCAAATGATGTATGTCTCTTTGAGACGTGCAAACGTCCAGGAGGGTAATAGGTTTCATTCTGACTGTTTCCACACAAACTTGCACCAGTTCAGTTACATGAGTTAAAATGCTAAACAAGGCAAATTCTGGCATATAATGTCTTTTTGGTTTAGATTACGTCGCAACAGCCTAGGTCCAAAACTCCTTTTCTTACCTCACAGGACAGTAATATTGAGACCCTAATAGTGTTGAACTAAAATAAAGCAATCTTGAAAATACTGCATGTAACATAAATAATATACTCTAAACCAAAAAGCCATATAGAAAATAGAAATTATTAAAGTAGAATCAAGTTGAAAATATTACCTTTCAGATCAATTCCTGATTTATTCTAGGGATTACAGTATGTTTACCATATAGCTCTATATTTATGTCATTAACCAGACCTGAGTCATGGCAATGGTATTACATTTTAAGACAACAGAAAACAAAAAAAGATGAAAAAGAAGAAGAGGCCTTTATGTAGGAAATTCAATTTACCTTTAGCTCTGTTGCCCCCAGAGACCACTTCAGAGCAGGCCCTGTGATAAATCCACCACCCAAAGCCATTGCAAATTGCTGGGTTAATGAAGAGAGGTCAAGTAGGGAAATGGGAGGCGAGAGTAGAAAGGTGTTGATCGTCTGTAAATGACTTGCTGCAGGGAGTACATTGTTAAAGCTCAGAGAGTGAAGTACACCAATTTTTTTTTTGGCTGATAAGCAGAGGATTGGCTTTACTTCCATTTCTATATTTCACCAAAACTTCCCTGTCAAACTAATTCTTTTTTTGTGTGCCTAGCAGTGTTAAGTTATAGCAGAGGAATTTCTTGTGCAAAGAAAGGAGTGAAATACAGGCAGACCAGAGAGAAAAAACATGAAGCTTTTTAGGTAAGAATTATATTTTTTTATTAATAATAAAAGTACAGTCCTTAAAATGTTTTCTACTGCTTCCAGGGGAAAAAAATAAATCTGTCAATTCTGTTTAGCAAATTCTTGTATTTTGTACCTTTCACACTTTTTTTTGTTCCTAGTAGTTACTTAAAAATGGGAGGGTCGCTTCTCCTATAATACATGTACTCTACCTAGCTAATGGAATATTTCCCTTCCCCTTATAGGTTCCAAAATTATACTTAAAATTATGTTTCACTAACTTCATGCTATAATTTAATTAGTGGTTTTTTGTGAATTCCTTATTCACGTATCTTTATCTTTGCACTGCAGATTTCTTTTGTAAGTATGTCACTACCTTTTCAAGTGATCCAGCTTGAAACTGGTAAGACATAACCTGTATTTCTTGTTTTGTTTTTAATGGACAGTGATTCCATGAAGCAAAGTAAATACTGAAGACTGTTCCCTCCCCCTCCTGTAAATAATTAGCATTAAAATAACTATTGTTCTGTAGACCCAGCTTCCAGACATCTTCATGCATGAATGGGGTTCCTCTTGTGAGTGACACTATCCTCATGTTTGCAGGTTTAGGAATTTCTGCAACGCTGCTCTTCGGTGTCTTCCGTGAGCCAGGCTCTGCTGCACGAGGAAGGATGCAGGACATTCACATGGAGTTTGAGTGAGCAGGACCTAGTCATGGGGTCTCTGTGCTGCCCGTTCAGGACCTATAGTTTGTGCCCTGATCCCTTGTTATTCTTCATGTAAATAACAAAATTGACATTTCAAACATTCCATTCGTGGGGGTTTGGGGTTTTTTATTATTATTGTTTTGTCATGGCACCGTCTCCTGAACCCATGTAATAACACTGGATTGAACCGTGAAGCAGAAAGAGAAATAGCTAACATAAGATACAAAACACACATCAGCTTCTCTATCGCTTCTTAAATTATAGCTTTGATTCTCATTACTTTCATAAGAAATAATTTTATGCTGTCAATTTTTCTAAGTAGCATCATATGTTAATTCTGTGGTTCAGTTGTTCCCAAGAGTATCACTTTCCTTTTTTAATTTGTATGTTTAAAGGATGTGAAGGGGAAAACAGTAGCAATTCCCCAAATTCCCCAAACCAGGAAAATCAGAGCGCATCTTTAAACACTTTTAAGGAAATGAACAACCTCAGTTTCAAGAGGAAAAGAAAAAACCCTTCTGATGTGTTACCTTTCATTGGGTTAACACGTGGTAAGTTGATCATTGCTCATCGCATATAATTGATTTTCATGTCCACACTGAAGGTGTTGTGGGTTGGAGGGGAGGGGGCGGTGGTGGAAGGGCATGAGGGTGATACAATAGTCTGTTTTCCAGGGCATACTTTCTGTTCCTGTCTCTTAAATGCACAATGAAATGTACCAAAGGCGTTGGTACGTACAGATTATTAGTTTAGATATTAGTTTAGAGCAAACAAAAGCCCTACAAGTAAGTGAAAACATTCAGACTCCGTGCAAAGGTGCTTTACATCACAGTGTGCTTTCTGCGGCAAAGAGCAGGGGGCCCTTGCACCTGTGTGCAGGCAGCTGCCTGCAGCACAGCTAGCAAGACCTTTACCTGAACACAAACGCACTCTTCCGTGCTCCCGAAGACATCACCTGCCAAAACAGCAACCGAAGGACTTGAAATACATTGGTCTTAAGGAGAAAATGGGAAGCGCCACATCATCGTTTCATTGGTTTTGTTAATTGGTGCAGAAAGCTAGGAGTGGCTGATAATTTTGTTTAAAAATAGGAAGCAGATGTAGGGGTAAGTTCCGAAGCTTGTGCCAAATCTTCTCCCCCTTCACAGGTGATACACCTTCAGGATGTATGGCCAGGTAAACACTAGATGGTACCTGATCAGCAAACCACTTTTCACCTTATGCTCATGATTCTGAGACGTGACAGTAGTTTCAAGCTCAAGAAGCCTGCTTGTAAGGAACAACTCTCCGTGTTTCATATACACAGCCTGGACGGCCAACCTCAGACACCCCAGTCAGTGCCGTGGGACACGCATCAGCAGCACTTCTAACTGCTGCCGATAGATTTTCTCCCCCTTCCTGGGGGACCAAAGGATTTCTAAAATTCTAAATTTTTTATTCTAAATTTCTAGAGGAAAAAAGAAAATGGTCATAATAGACATGCCTCCCTTAGCATGTTCTCAGTGTTATGAACAATCAGTGTTATTAACAATGTTAGAGCACTTCATTTGCCATGGGAATATGAAGGGATCTGAGCTGAAAGCTATTGCCCTGATGCAGAGAGACCTATTTCCTTTTACATTTCCTAATATTTCCGCCAGTTCCAATGGAGAGTATAAAGACCTGATACCTTTATACTTGATGTAAGATGTGTGCTACCAGCTTCAACTACAGCTTATGTGCAGTGCCTGCTCACCAGATAGATGAGACATCTCTCTCCCCATTCTCTGGAAGCATCTTCCAAAACACCTCTGAAAATACACACTAGTAAAGAAAGTTTTCTTCTTGGTGTCACCTTCCTACCCACTCCTTTTGATTAAGAATCCAGACTCAGCTAGTCCAGAAACTGTCTGATTGAGAGCTGTAGTCACCTGTTCGCACACCAGGGTTTGCATGTCTTTTCCAGACCTGGTAGCCAGAAAACCGGATCAAAGAAAGCAATTCTTGCCGTGTTTTAAAGAACGCATGAAAGGTCAGGTCCTCAGCTGAGTGGTCTACAAACTCCAATCTCTGATTAAGCACAGACACAAAACCAAAAGCCTGAAGGCAATTGTATCCATTACTGAAAGAGTAATTAAAACTTAAGGATCCTTCTTAATTTAGTCTTTGACATTTTGAATCTGCTAACAAGTCGGGATAACTGTGCAGAGTCTTTGCAACAGGCAAAGAAAGCAAATTTTAAAAACATCAGGCTTAAACTGACAACCTGGCTGTCTGCAGCTGAAGTGGATGCATTGATTGCTCAAGAAATTTCCTGCAGTAACTTCTTGTTTCTGACTGTAGCCCATGAGCTGAACAGCAGCTGCTGCCAAAATGGAAGAACCTGTTTCCTGGGGACTTCCTGCATATGTCCCAAGTATTTTACTGGTAGACATTGTGAACACGATAAACGTATCAGGTGAGAGAAATGTGTGGTGGACTTTTTACCCAGAAATAGTAACCAGCTTACTTTCAAGACATGCAATTCCACTTCCTAGTTGGTTTGGTTTGGTTTGGGTTTTTTTTAATTATTGTTCTTTCCTAAAATCACAGATTCTGTGGGATGGCGAGGCATGGGGAGTAGACCAGGGATGGTTGCCTGTTCTGCCAGTGTGTCCATGGTGTACTTCACTGTTTTCCTCATGGTTTGAGAGATCGCTGTGGTAAGAGACACAGGATGCCCTGTTTCTATTTATAGTGTTAACTTCAGAAAGAAATAGGGATCTGGGATTTTGTTAGTGGATTGTTTGGGGATTTTTTTTTTCACATTAAATTCATTGTGAAGCTTGAAAAGTTTGGGTAAATAATACCTGGAGTTTGTGAGTTTGTCTAAAGTGTGAAACTTACCCTCTGTGGGAATGTAAATGGAGAACATTTCAATTTTCCTACTCTCACTGGTGAGTGATTCTAATTTACCTGGCCTACCAGGAACTTAAAAGGAGATCTGTTGTATGCACACCCATATACATATGAAGGGAAAAAAAATGATCACACATGCAGAGATAGGAATACATTTATATTCAACTATATACATAGTGTATACACCATACATACCCATATACTAAAACACAATATCCTAAAATACAAAAACAATGGCTTCTTTTATTTACACAAAGTGATGTTGATCGAATTTCATTCATGAGCAACCTTGATGAACTTCTATCAGAGGCTCTTCAGTTTAAACAGAAGTCTTCTAAATGTGTGAACTTTTCTATGTTTGTGTGACAGAAAGAAAGAGGGCTCTTCTTTGTTAAACAATTACCATGTTAAACTATTAATGCTGGAATTAAGCAAACAAAAAAAAAAAAGGACCACATTCTGATTACCAAATTTGCTAATTTACTTAATGGTTTTACCAGGTTAATTGGATTTTGTTAATCGCTTTAGAATGAATTTTTCTATCCGCGTTCCCTTGAGGACTTTCCTTGCAAAGGAAGAAAAAGCCTGAAAAGCTTTAGTACTCTGACATTTTTGTTTCACATTAAAACAAATTTCTGAGTCTCTAGAGGGAACATTACCTCCAGCTACTTACTCCATATGCACTTGCAAAGAAAAATATGGCAGTACTTAAAAAGCAACATTCTGGTGAATATCTGAGATTTACATATGAATACGCAGATATTTTCTCTCCTAAGCACCATAAAATCTCATCAGTCATTTCTTAAACGTTCTGAGTGCCGCTGTTTGCTGCTCTTTCAAAACTGTGAACACTGTCTTTAAGGCCCCTCCATCACCGCCTGTTCAGCTGAAGTAGCTTCTGGGAAAGCTGAAAGGAAGTCGTTGAGAGCAATAAAGGACTTGAAACAACCCAGGCAAATCAGCCTCGTTTCGGCTTAATTTAAATCTATTTAAATGGAAGGGGCTTTGGGTTTGGTTTTTTTTT